ACTGGTAAAATATGCATTCATCATTGTCTAGGAATGGAAGCGAGCCATTTGTGCTATTGAAATCTGAATGAGGCATATCAGTTTGTTGGGAGTGGTAGAGTAATGATTCCAAAGGCGGCTGCGTAGGCCGTGGGCTAGTTTGTAGTTGCGCTGCACTTTGGTTTTGGTTGGCAAATGTCAGCTGGTTCACAAGGTTATAGGGACTAACATACCCTGCAGCTAATTTATCTTCAATTCCCTGTCCTGTAGAATTCAACTGGCTTAATTGATCCACGGAAAAATCAGTACCTAATTTTGTCTTGTCAGTACTATTTCCAACTGGTGATTGACTTCCAAACTTTGTTAGGCTGTTCAACTTTCCTGGTAGAATTGCATGAGATGTGTTCAAGTTTATTGCAGTAGATTGATCCATAGATGATTGGGGAGGGTTTGATTCGGTAGAGATATACCTTCTGAAAAGACACCCGGATTCTTTTGGTTGAGTTTGGCCTGCATGGTCTTCATATCTGCTATTAAATCTCCATTAGCAGCCGATTGCTGTTGTAGAGCAGCTAAAGTTCCATCATGATTGACACATTGAGGTTTCAGTAGCATATTGACTAGCTGTTCCAAACGTAGATTTGAAATCGAGTAAGGAAAGAGTTCCCATTTCCAATCTCAGGAACCCGAATGAATGGTCTTTTAATCAAATTTCCCCATTCAGTTTGCTGCTCCTAGTAGCACAAAAAAGTCATTAAAAAAACATCAAACAGACTTCCCTGCTTGAAAACAGAATAAAAAACTTACCCAAGAATCCAGAGTGTAATGGTCGTTTAAGACTCGAAGTCAGAGAAGGAAATATGAAAATATTTTCAGGAGGCTCATCCCACTCTACCTGTTAATGAAGTGAATGTAGAAGAATCAACCGTTGAACATTCAAAGCAAACAGAAAAACCCTTCATTATAATATTGATTAGGGAACATAAAAGCAAGATCACTTGGTAAAGGCTCAGAGTAGCTTAAGCCACCTGAAGATTCCGCCACTTTGAACCAGGCCATCTCCTCTGTGCCTCTGGGATGGATCCTTGATTTCTGGAGGTGCAGGCAAATTTTCGATAGCCTCTACAATATGGTTTAATGAACAAAATTTTGTACGTTCTTGGTCACCCTTTAAAGATCATCACAACAAAAGGGTTATTTTAGTCATTAACAATCAAGTGCTCTGTTCAACATTGTCCAAAAGGGTATCTTCTGCTAAAATTGGTGGACGTTACTTTCCCAACCTTGGACTTCTAATAAGCCACTATCAAGCCGACCAACAAGGTTCATCTGGGACTGGGTCTGGCCTATCAAGTCTTTTGTTGTTTTTGTGTTACAAGCGACATTGGGAGGAGGGAATCACATCTAGGACCTCGAGTGCAGGGATAGATGCTCTTAACCGCTTGAGCTACAAGCCCCTTGCTAGCCTATCAAGTTTAAGCAAATGGTCAATGTGAGTATTTGGGTTTGCCTACCAAGTTTTCATTATGGCTCTACAAATGTTTGTAATATCCAAGAGAAAGCAGTGATTGGCCTACAGGCCTTGATGGAATTGCATATGTTGGAGCCTTTATGCTACACAACACTATATATCTGCAAGAACTTGAACATTTCTACAAATTGAAAAGAGAGAAAATGCTTGTGATTGCTTTTCCCGGAAGACCTTCAATCTTGTACTCCACACACAAAAGCACACACTTTATACAATCTTAAAATCCACAAAATAGAGCACACCATGTGGCCAAATACAAAAAGTCTGTTTACAAAAAGGCATCTTCTACCATGTGGCCAGAACAAGATGTTGAATTATGAAAGCAAAGAATGACCAAAACAGAGCCACACATTTACAAAGAGAAGCTGAGCCCCAATTTACAAGGAGAAGCTGTACGTTGCAAATAGATGACCAAAACAGAGCCACACATTGAAATTTGAAATCAAGTCCGCTTTGGCTTTGGCTTAGTTAATTAAAATAACACTATAGCTGGAACTAATACATTAATCGGAGTGAGCTTGGATTAAAATGGATCTATTTATTTCTCTCAACAAACACACAAAAAAAAAAACATTAATTGGAGAACTTCGAATTAATTGTTCTTACAAGTAATTAACACTTATTTAACTCATATTTATTCCTACTAAGCACTCTAAATTAACTCGTAAACTCTTCTCCAGATACCTTTGCATGCGCGTACTAGCAATCTTCAACACTTGAACTGAAAGGAGGCATTCAGCTACAGCTACTTTTCTCCTAATTTAGATGCTGCAGCTAAATATCAAAGTAAACAAATTAATACTCGTCAGTTTGGAGAAAAGAAAAATGCAATAAGAAAATAATTATAAAACGAAATTAGCATCGTGACTATTATAACCAGAAAGAGACAAAATGTGATGAAGTTCATACCTCATTGTCACATGAAGTATCTGAGTCGTTCATTTTATTATCTATGTACAATGTCAAATACAGATTACAGGGGCAACTAATTTTCCAAAAATATTATTTTTTGGATAAGACCTCTCCATCACTTTATACGTTTTCAAGAACAGAGGCAACTAATTTTCGAAGACAGGAAAATGTGAAAATATCAGCCATTATCGCATTAGTATACTACTTCATGATTTATCTTTCACACTAAACCTTAAAAGAATACAGATGTGATTTCAAACAGAGAGCTTATCTTCTAAAGGTTTCCACTTACCATGCAAACAATATATACACAATTGAAGGACATAAGTACTAATCACATAAACATTCCATGTTTGATGCATTTTACAGTAATAAGCTGAATGTCCAAGCGTGATCTAAGGAACATTACATTTGATTAAGCCTCCTTTATAAACTCTTTTACACACACATATAACTTAACATCTGTCTATTAAAGCCTCGTTAACATCTGTCTATTAACAACGTCATTGGTGGGATGCCCGAGTGGGTGGAAACGGGGTGCACATCATCCCTGTGCTCAGCAACGTCATTGGTAAGTAGGGTCATACTGGGCGTGTGGCTCACTACTGCTTGAGGCTGCTTGACTGCAGGAGAAGATGGAGTAAAGCTATAGCCAAAAATATCCATGTTGTCCAAAGGCGACCAAGGAGAATAAAGCTTATCCGTAGGCTCAACTGGAATGTGAGAAGCCATGGCGAAGCGCGTGATCAAGGACGCAAAAGGCAGGGAGTCGGGCATGGAAGTTGGGAATGCAGCACGGCAGATGGCACGAAAAATGTAGGTGGCCAGATCAATGGGCACATTGTTCCCAATGGCATAAAGGAGGCGAGCTCTATCAGGGCTAAGCAAAGAAGGGATAACTTGACAAGGAGGATCGATATTATATCTCACTATGCTGTTAAGCACTTTGTACAAATCACTCAGTCAATTTTCATGCAAAACCCTGACCCTCTTGTTCCAACTCAAAGTAGATTTCACCAACTTCAAGTCAAGATTATCAACAACAAGCCCAGGAAAACCAGGTGATTTTTCATTTGGGTTTGGCCTAGCAAGTTTAAGCAACTGTGCAATGCCAGAAACAGAGAAATTCAACACCTTACCTCGCAAATACACATCAAATGAGTCAGGGTATTCTCGACCGCTGGAGAAATGCAGAGTCTCATCTCACAAACAAGTATCAAAAGGGCCCAACCCAGGTGGGTTTTTCTCCTCGGCAGAGAAAGGAGGAATGTTTGCGTAGAATTCTCGGACAATCTGGATATTAGCAGGCTCTGAAGGACCCATTGTCAAAAGCCAACCTCTTGATTTGAAGATTCTGGGAAGCCCAAGATCCTCGAAGTCACTCAATTTGACCTCCCGCTCAACCGTCACACGTTGAACACTGAAGATTTTCTTGTAGCGGTTCATTGCTTCCGAAGTCTTGAACTTACTTTCATCAATATCGTCATCAACATAAGCTCGCTCTCTACCCATCAAATCAATAATATCCAATTACAACGAAGTTGTAATTTTAGAAGATTCGAGCTAAAAATGGCTGTGGGTTGGATTGAAGGAGGAGGATGAGAAGAGAAAATGACGTTTGAGTTGAGAAAAAATGGAAATTCCGAAAATGAAAAAATATATACCGGTATTCTTCCAGGGGAGTGAGGGGGAAAAAGAGGGTGGAAATGGGAGGGAAACTTTTTCATGAACGCGCCACTTTAATTTTACGTTCAGAAAGTTGATTTTAAAATCTCTACTATTTTGCCCACTTGGCCTGGAAAATCAGTCCGCTATCCTGGACAAAATGCATGATAAAGAAGACGTGGGGCCCGTGTCGTCAGGACACATAACGAGCTGGGATGAAAGGATCGTAGGAATCCAACGGCTTCCTCCAAACTAGTGTTTCGTTTTCTTTTCCAATTTAATTTGAGTGCTGTTAAACGAACCTTAAAATTAACTGAGTACACACTATGATCTAAGTACATCCTAATATTTAAATCAAAATGTAAAATTAACTAAGTACACCCTATTTAATTACCAAAAATACCCCGGATACACCCTAATTCACTCTATCACACAGCAGCAAACCCATTTGAATCTGGTAACAGCATTCATGAAGGTCAAGTGGCATACTAAATTATTCGGATATCATGGCTGAGAAGCTTTGATTCAAAGGCAGCAGAAAGCCCCTTGTTTTCTCTTTGATTTATTATTCGCCAAAACCAATACAACCACATCGAGAATACATATCGATCAACGAGTTAATTATCCTAATATTGTCTCTAAAATCTTGCTTCATAATAAACCGATTTATCCACAAGCCTAATCCAAGCGTTCCCAAATCCACACAAGCAGCAATTACAACAATTAAGGTCACATAGTCTGGTTCCACACCCGAGAGCTGCATCTCCCGAAACCACTCCAACGCTTGCTCGAACTGACCTTTCTTGACAAACCCACCAATCAAAACAGTCCAAGAAACCGCATCTCTCTGTGGCATTTGTTCAAACAGCTTGACCGCATCGTCAACCTTGCCATTTTTCATATACCCATCAATCATCGTATTCCAAGACATTGAATTCTTCACATACATTTATTTCATAATTCAAAATATCCTTTTTGGTAATTTTATATTAGGATAAATTAGTAATTTAATAAATAGTTTGATAGTATGGTGTACTCAGTTAATTTTAGGGTTCATTTAGCACCACTCTTTAATTTATATCGTTATATAATACATAACGGCTAAGATTTAATTTGAGCAAATCCAACTGTACAAAAACAAATCGAATGGCTCAAAATCAAATCCAATGGCCAAAATAGTATTATTAAATAATCAAAATCAAATCAAACACCAAAACTCACTCCAAACACTATAATAATCCACCAAAATCATTTTTTGTTCATTCTCACTTTGTTAATTTTGGTAATTCTCCTTTCATTCTTATTGAAGAGAAAACCCCAATTAAGTGTGAAATTACATTATGTTTTGGAATTTAAATTTTTTAAGGTTAAGATAATTAGAAAATTAAATCACGAAAGTTTAAACAAAAAATTTGTCAAGAAAATTAATGGCAAAAAAAATTAGGAATTAACCATTCTTAAACAATTTAATAAAGTTACGTTTGAGTCAGTATGGTTGGAGGAAAAAATGATTTGAGTCCGAGCAATATATGAATAGTTGTATTTTAGAGTTTTGTTCAGTGCGTGTTTCATGGTGAGCGATATTCTTGAAAAAATCATTGAGAAAGTAAA